ACAAGTCTCTATTGAAGCCGACAAAGCTCTTGGTGCATCCCTACCTGGGAAGACTCGGGCCTATGTATCATTGGTGGCATGGTTAGGGTTTGAGATTTGTGTGTGTTGTGGGGGAGAAATTATATATAGCGCCGTGTACTCAGATCAGTTGGTCGGACATCTGCTTGTCAGTTGTAAGTCCCCTCTGGTGTGGGGTTCAATTCCCCTCGAGTGTAGGGTGTGGTACTCGAATTCTTTGGCGCATGAGGGATGGCCGAGACTCATATAATAGCCTCCGACCATTTCTTTTTTTGAATATATATATATATAAATAATTGATGAGTAGTATTTCGAGCCGAACACGAATGAACAAATTTTTGTTCTTGTTCAGCTCGTTAACTTAGCGAACGAGCCGAACACGAGCTTTTTAATGAGCCGAACATGAGCTGTTCACAAACAATGAGTCGTTTTGACAGCCCTACTTGAGATTTGAATTGTGAGTCTTAGGTTTAGGTTTTGGGAGAGATTTCCCACCTCTTGAATTGTATGAATTAGGAGAGATCACCTACCTCTCGAATCGTATGTGCTTATCTTTTGTATTTGTTTGAATTGTTTGGATTATTGAAATAAAAATTAGTGTTTGTCCTAATTTTGGTAGAAAAGCGTGCCGATTTTTGCCTCGGATGATATCATATTTGCATGAATGTATTTTGATTAAAAGAAGTTTCAATTAGCTCATTTCAAAATGCACACATTTCATAGAATTTGCAATGTAATAAATTAATTAAAAAATAGGATTAACCCATAACATCTAAGTGGCTTACCTACACACTTCCTATCATTATACTATCTCTTTATTTTATTTTTATATTGTCTTTAGCTTCAGATTTGAATAGGTATATCTATTTGTTTTGTTTCTTTTGGGCATTCATACACACAACCCAATTCTTATATATTTACATATTTAGCACCTAAAATTTTGTTTTTTTACATTTATTCCATTCATATCTTTCATATCACATGAAAAGTACCAATATTTTAACTTTTAAATAGCAAAATACACCTTTATGTATATATATATATAAGTTTTGGTGTTAGATATGCAAATGCATAAAAATTAAATTGATTTGTGTGTAAATCTTTCTTTTCTTCATTGCTGATGGATCTTAGTTGGAAATATACTCCTATTATGCTTATGAATGAATAAGCTCTCATCAATCATCAATTTTCATTTTCTCATAAAGTTCATTTTCGACCTGCCAATATGAATATGCAAACATTTCAAACAAATGTTTATATTATTCAGCCTTTTGCTTTTATTATTTGTTAGGAAGTTCCTGCATGAAAAATATCCAAATTGATGCAATGGATGGAAGAATTGATTTTTTCTTTCAATTGTTTTTTTTAGCGCATTTACCTACATATCCATACATCCTTATTTATTTGCATATCTAACACCTAAAATTTCATATTTACATGCATAACACTCAAATCCTTAGTATCACATCAACTATATCACTTCTACTTTTTACGAGTGAAATACACATTTTCATATATAGGTTTATGACACCAAAGTGTTATAAGTGTAAATATAAAAATTGGGCATCTACATGCAGACCACTTAATTCTTATGTATTTACATATCTAACACTTAAACTTTACTTGACAATTATTTCCCCCTCTCCAAATCCTTTCATTTCACATAAAAAACAACTTTTAAAAAATGAAATACAACTTTTCATGATAGGTAAAGATTGCATGCTTGTGCAAACTGAACTTTAGGTGTTAGATATGTAAACACATAGGAATTAAGTGGCATGTATGTAAATCTTCCTAAAAAAATTAGGAGTTAGATATGTAAGTACATAAGAATTATGTGGTGTTTATGTAAATTTCTCATTTTTAGTGAGAAATATCTTAGAATAACATGCTTTGATATTCCCCTGCTCTCAAATTACTTTCCACTGAATCTGATTGTTGGCTCTTTTAAATTCTCTTTTAAAATCTAAAAAGTTGGAAGAAGTTCCAGAAGAGTTTCCTTTTGAAATTCAAGATGAGGAGGGCACCAATGTAATTACTCTCAGGAGAGAATTCCTGGGAGAAAACATTGAAATCGTCGTTTCTATGCCGACTGTCGAAGATACTGACGACAATGACGATGAAGGTGAAGATGAAAAGCGCGGCGAAGACGAGAAGATTGACCAACCAACCATTCCTCTCACAGTAAATATCAGCAAAGGTGAAGACTCAAATTTGGAATTCTGCTGCACTGCTTATGCAGATCAACTCGTCATCGACAGTTTGTGTATTCGCCGAAATAAAGATGAATCCGATGATTTACTCGCGTACGAAGGCCCTGATTTCGAGTAAGTGGTTACTAACTTTTTAGAGGTCATTTTGAATCACTTTTGTTTTATTTTTTATTTTTATTTTGTTACATATTTTGATTTGAGTTATAATATGTTTTATATGTTGAGTGCTTTTAAACAGAAGCCAATTTAATTTTTAGGGACATTTTCCTACATACCACCCAATTCTTATGTATTTACATATCTAATACCTAGACTTTGATTTTTACATTTATACCACCCAAATCTTTCATATCACATGAAAAATATTACTTTCCTTACTTAAAAAGTGTGGAATACAACTTTTGATGCATAGGTAAGGTGACATATATGTAAAAATTGAAGTTTGGGAGATACATAGGAATTGAATGGTATGCATGTAAATTTTTTTTAAACAAAAAATAAAAGGGGCATTTACATACATACTCCACAATTCTTATGTATTTACATGTCTAGCACTTATACTTCAATTTTTGCACTTCACATCCAAAATACCATCATTTTAACTTTTAAAAAGTGAAATATACATTTTCATGCATAGGAAAGGTGGCATTGAAGTGCAGGTGTTAGATATGTACATACAAAAGAATTGAGTTTTATATCTCTTTCAAAATAAAAATATAAAAAAAATTATATTAGCTAAACATACTTTAAAAAACAAATTTTTTTTTCTGTTCTCGCATTATCTTGATGACAAAGAACAGTGTTTTTATTTTTTATTTTTTATTTTTGGGCATTTACATATTAACCACAAAATTTTATGTATTTACATATTTTACACACAAACTTTAATATTTATACTAATCAATAACATAAAAATATGGAGTAAAGTGTCAAAATAGTCTCTTACTTTTTACATAGGATTGTTTTAGTCCCAGTGTTTATAGAAGTGTCAAAATAGTCCACAAACTATTTTAATTGGGGTTGAAATAGCCCTCATAAAGGACTATTAGATCAATTTTAAAATAGTTTGAGACTATTTTGACATTTCTATAAACTCTGGGAGTAAAACGACCCATGTAAATAATCGTCGACTATTTTGACAATTTATAAACATAAAAAAGATCACTTTTACTAACTTTTTTTTTTTAAAAAGCACCTTTTTATGCATAGGTTAATAACACCGTGGTATTATAACTGTATATTTCAAACTTTAGTGGTTAGATATGTAAATCCTTAAGAATTGTGTAGTACATGTGTAAATTTTCCATTTTTTTTATTAATTCTCTGTTTGTGTTGCAGTGATCTTGATGAAAACCTCCAGAAAGCATTCCACAAGTACCTTGAAACAAGAGGCGTTTCTACTGACACTACCAATTTCTTATACAAATACTTGATAAGTAAAGATGACAGAGAGTACTTAATGTGGCTGCAAAATTTGAAGTCTTTTCTTCAGAAACAGTGAGGGTTTAGAAGCAATTTTTTTGTCCTATTTATGAAATTAAACAATATTAGCAATTGCAATTTTTAGACATATATCTGATTATTTTAAAAATTTTTGTATTTTCTGAATTGTATTGTAGCATATATTTATGTATCTGCTACATGAGTGTTTTATGCTTAATGACATGCTGAACATTATTGATTTCATTTTTTTTTTTTGTGGTTATGGATTTATATAATTTGCTTTTATCTATTTTGATAAACTGATTAGCGGAAGCTAGGTAATATGCAAGTAAAAAATTAAAAATTTAGGCATTAGATATGTAAATATTATAAGAATTGAGTTGTATGTATGTAAAACTTCCCAAAAATTTTGACAATTTACATACATACGTTGTGAAGTGACTCTCTTCATGCATAAATATATTATAAATATATTACAGTAAGGTGTAATAAATTTAAATATCAAATTTTTGTGTATTAGATACATAAGTACATAAAAATTGTGTGGTAGATATGTAAAAAAAATAAAAAACATAATATCTAAATTCCCCCACCACTATACTTCCTATCCAAACCCCCAATTCTCGGAGAAATTTTTCCATACGAAGTGTGGACACAGCTCTGTTTGCGGACTCTGATAATATACCGTCACGTGTGCTACATCGAGTCGATATCATAAACACTGCACGGTGACCCGCTCCAATAGCAAGTTTCTTTTATATTTTCTTCGCATTCTTAAATTAATTAATATTAAATAATATAATATAGAAATGTGCAACGTCTGCTATTAAATAAAATTATACATCTCAAAGATATTAGAAAAAAAAAATTGTGTAACATACTACATAAAATGATTAAAATATTGATAACAAAATAATTACACAACTATTTCAAATCATATTCTTTTTTTATGTTTTTTAGTAACATATATTTAACACTTTTATATTAAAATATGAATCCCAAGCACAAATAAGCAAGGCTGTGAATATTAGTGATATTATTAATTTGTGCCACCACTCTAGCATGAGCTCAATCTGAACCTTCAAAGAAGCTTAATACAAACAACATTAAGATAAAAATCAAATGAAGTAAATTTTGGCTTCCGTCCTTAAAAATAGTCACAAATCCAGTGTCCCAAACAAATTATGGAGCTGGGAACATAAGAGGATTATAAAGATTAAAGCAGCAGAAATAAATAAAATCCCAAAAAGTCACCGGCAAAGCTCCTATCAGGAACAACATAATTTTACTGCAGAAACCATACAACAAATTAGATATCCATGGGCGCTGCCTCCCGTTCTTGAGCTGCACTTGGCTCTTCAGGAGCAGATTCTGCAGCAGCAGCAGCCGCCCCCGGAGCATCTTCCACAATGTCGACGGACTCTATCACTTCCTCGATCGTCTGCTGATCAATGATATGAAATGGCTCCCCAACCCCAACAATAGCAACCGTGCAGATGGCGCTTGTTAGCTTTTCACCTTGCAAGGTTTCCTTGATGGCAAAGAGCCCATCTTTGATCAATTCTTCGCGGGAGTACTTGTTGAACTTCTCAAATCTACGTTCCAGGTACGTCTTCGCAGCTTGGGAACGGGATCCAATCGCGAAAGCTTGGTACTCGAAATAGTTTCCACTAGGGCAGTTGTAATAGAGATGAGCTCCAGTTTCATCCAAGCCAGCAACAAGGAGACCTACACCGTAAGGCCTTTTCCATGAACGCTGTGTGCAAACCTACACAAATAGATGCATGCATATCATCCATTACAAAACCTCCTTAGCACCATTCTGAATCTGAATCATGTGTTCCAGACAAACACAGTGATAAATAAAGAGCATGAAGACTAGTTTGCCATCTGCAAACATGCACTACCTCTTTCTCTCTCATCGCATTTTAACCTTTAGCACAATTTATTCCTACTTTCTCTCCAAGCACTCATAGCCAGTGGCTTACCAAGTGGTAAAATTAATATAGTTTCTTTTTGCAGTTCATGTACACGTGACATTCTAAAAAATTATGGCGGAAGAACATAACATAAATATGGATGAAACAAAAGGATTCAACAATTGAATATAAGCCTTTATCCCACTATGTGGGGACCGGTACATGAATCCCTTTCCTCCATTGTGTCCTGCTGAGTGTCATATTTTCATATAATTCTAATAAATTAATATCACTTTTCTATAAAACAAGTACAAGTATTTTAGGTCTTCCTCTGCCTTCAAATCTATAATATCTACTCTCCTAACAGGATCATCAGATGGTTATCGTTTAATGTGACCAACCCATCTAAGATTACTATCTCTAATATTACCTGCCACTAGAGCAACTCCAACACTTTCATGGATATATTAATTTCACATTTTGTCTCTTAGTGTAAAACCACTCATACACCAGAGCATTCTCATCTCAGCAACACTTAAGAGTTGAAAATAAAGTTAGTTATTAGTACATGTATTATTGGTGAAAGCACCATAAATATTGTCAATACTAATGCTCCCAAGATGGATTATTAGTAGAGATAACTAGTTTTGGAAAGAAATAGAGACCACCACACTCGAAAAAAGAGTCAATAACAGTGAAAGGCGATTTAAAATGAGTTCCATTGAGATGCATTGCGCCTAGAACTAGGGAAGCAAATAAACAATAAAAATTAAGTGAGATATGATACAAACTGATTTCAAGTTCATACATAATCATAAAATAAAAACACATTTGAGGAAACAAGATCATATAGTTGAACCACAACATTGATTAATAACTGAATAAGGATATTTCAGAATTATAAGTATGGCAATTAAAAAAAAAAGTATTCCTAAAATAAAATGTTCGAAGTCAAATCGATTTTCAAGGTTATTACAAGGGAAAAGTTGAAACATTAAAGTACAATAAAGCTTAATGCAGGAAGAGAAAACAGCGTAAAAAAAAAAGAGAAAATAGTTTTAAGTAAAAAAAAATGCAGATAAATAAGATGGTGGAAGTTGAAAAGACAAGTTAATCTTCCTAAATTATCAATAGACAAATTGAAAGTTCAGTGTTCAAAACAACCTTATCAAGCACATTACACAAACAATTCTAGGAGAGTCTAAAGAAACAATAGTATCCAAATAAATAAACATGATAGTAGAATATATAAAAGAAACTTGAAATTGGATAATAAAAATATAAATATTATTGAGATTGTCAACAAATATAAGCTAAACTACTAAATTCAAAAAGATTTTAGAACAAAGACAAAGTCATAGCCCTTGATAGTGATATATATATATATACATATATATATAATCATAAAAAATAGCCAATACAACAGCAACAACAACAACAACAAAGCCTTAATCCCACTACGTGGGGTCGGCTACATGAATCCTTTTTCTCCATTGCGTCCTATTTAGTGCCATATTTTCATTTAGTTCTAGTAAATTAAGATCATTTTTAATACAATAAGCCCAAGTCTTCCTAGGTCTACCTCTGCCTTTCTTAGCACAAGTCGAATTTAAAACATCTACTCTCCTAATCGGATCATCTAATGGTCGACGTTTAATATGACCAAACCATCTAAGACGACTTTCTCTAATTTTGTCTGTCACAGGAGCTACACCAACCCTATCACAAATATATTCATTCCGCATTTTGTCTCTAAGTGTAAAGCCACTCATCCACCTAATCATTCTCATCTCGGCAACACTTAACTTATTATTATGCTTCTCTTTTAAAGGCCAACATTCAGCGCCATAGAGCATTGCAGGTCTCACCACCATCTTATAAAATTTTCCTTTCAGTCTTAGCGGTACTTTTCTATCACACAAAAGGCCCGAAGCATTCCTCCACTTCAACCTACCAACTTGAATTCTACTATTAACATCCCCATCTATATCACCATCGCTTTGGACAACGGACCCAAGATATCTAAATTGTTCACACCTTTTAATAATTTGATCACCCAAAGTCACACTTCTGTCACTAGAGTTATTACTACTAAAATTACATTCCATGTATTCAGTTTTAGTTCTACTTAAACGAAGGCCTTTAGACTCCAATGTAGACCTCCATAATTCAAGTTTTTCCTGGGCTTTTTCTCTCGTTTTATCCACGAGAAGAATATCATCAGCAAAAAGCATACACCAAGGTACATCCTCTTGTAGATGTCCAGTAAGACCATCCATAACTAAAGCAAAAAGATATGGGCTTAAAGTCGATCCCTGATGTAAACCAACAGAAATAGGAAAATATTTTGTCAATCCTCCTTCAGTTTGAACACAAGTAACAACTCTAGTATACATAAAAAATAGCCAATATCAAAGAAAATGTTATAACTTCCATTAGAACAAATGTATTAAAAGTAGAGACAAGATATAAACTAAAAAAGAAGAAACAAAGCAAATATTGAAATTTTATTTTAAAATTTTTTAAATAAGAGCTATGATAAAAAAAAGAAATATTTTAGAAGAGCATCATAGCTTAATAAATAAAATAATGAATATTTTTTTGAATTAATTTAAAAAGTGAAGTTGAATTAAATATTTAACTATGCAAAAAGGAGAATCTAAGATATGGAGAGCAAAGAGAAATGCATGTAAGGGTACAAATAAAAGATGCCTTAAATGAAAACCTCAAATAAAATAAAATGACAAAAAATTAATATACATTTTAGAAGAAACCTTTTAAGAAAAGAAAATGTTTAGAATAATAGTAATTATGGAGAAATTAAATTTATGAGCCATATGATGAGTGTTGATGTGGGGCCATGTAGCATAGCTTAGAAAAATCACATCTGTATCAAAGAATCAGTTTACTTTTACACCTATGCTAAGAAGCTCTATCATCAAGGCAATTTCATATCTATAGTTCATATAAAAGCACAATTGGAAAGAACCTTCAAATGATATTTATAACACTTAAAGACACACAATTGAGTTCCATGTTAACAAGGGTTTCTGATTATGATTACGAAGAAAATACGACCTCCAAGTATATTTAAATTATTACAGATGTATGAAACAAATGAAAAGCCAAAAAATTAGATACCATGTGTTTAAAACATCAAAATCATCCTTAACTTCATATCTTTTTTGCTTTGCATGTAAATTGAGTAAAGAAAAGGAAAAAAATCATGGGAAGAGAAAAAACAAAAAACACAGGAAAAATAAAAGGATATATTTTCTTGTCTTTTCAACTAGAAGTTTTGAAAGGGAAAAGAATATTATTCATCTTATCCTTGATTAAGAGCTTACAGATAAGGTTCCAAGAGAAGTCATTTGGAGAGTTCTAGAGAAAAAATGTGTTGACATGACTTATACTCATTAAAGATATTTATACTAGAGTTGTTACTTATGTTTGAATAGAAGAAGGCTTAACCAAGTTATTTTTCTATTTCTATTGGATTACATCAGGGGTCAACTTTAAGCACTTTAAGCCCATATCTTTTTGCTTTAGTTATCGATGGTCTTTCTGGACATTTACAGGAGGATGTACCTTGGTGTATGCTTTTTGCTGATGATATCCTTCTAGTGGAGAATACGAGAGAAAAAGCCCAGGAAAAACTTGAATTATGGAGGTCAACATTGGAGTCTAAAGACCTTCATTTGAGTAAAACTATAACTGAATACATGGAATGTGGTTCTAGTAATAGTAGCTTTAGTGACAAAAATGTAACTTTGAGTGATCAAATTATTAAAAGGTGTGAATGATTTAGATATCTCGGGTTTATTGTTCAAAGCCATAGTGATATAGATGGGATGTTAATAGTAGAATTTAACTTGGTTGGTTGAAGTAAAGGAATACTTCGGGCCTATTGTGTGGTAGAAAGTACTGCTCAAACTGAAAGGAAAATTTTATAAGATGGTGGTGAGACCTGCGATGCTCTACGGTGTTGAATTTTGGCCTTTAAAAGAGAAGCATAATACTAAGTTAAGTGTTTCCGAGATGAGAATGATGAGGTGGATAAGTGGCTTTACACTTAGAGACAAAATGCGAAATGAATATATCAGTGATAGAGTTGGTGTAGCTCCAGTGACAGACAAAATTAGAAAGAGTCGCCTTAGATGGTTTGGTCACATTAAACGTCAACCATTCGATGATCCGATTAGGAGAGTAGATGTTTTAGATTCGACTTATGTTAAGAAATACAGAAGTAGACCTAAGAAGAGTTGAGCTTATTGCATAAAAAAAGATCTTAATTTATTACAATTAAATGAACATAGGACGCAATGGAAAAAAAAGATTCATGTAGCCGACCCCACTTAGTGGGATTAAGGCTTTGTTGTTGTTGTTGTATCATTGATTAAGAGTTTGAAAAAAAGAAGAGAAAAATTAAGATATTTAGACCCTGATAAAAAGAGCTAAATTAGGATTAAGGGGAAATCAATATTATTTTTTTATTATAATATGGGTACTTTAAATATTATCAAATACTAGTTAGGAAAAACAACTAAATCTCTATAGTATGCTTATTTTGGGAGAAACAAAATCTTTCAAATTGCGAAAAATTTCACTTTTTTCTTACTTTTCTACTCAATTTAAATTCCCAATCAAATTCAAGTTGTTTCTTTCAAATTCCCTTCTTCTCTCTCTAAATCCTAACTCCCAATTAAAAGATTATAAGTAATGTAATTGTATACGACAAAATTAAAGGTAAAAGAACTTAAGGTAAGCATTTTATAAATGATATATGTATGATAGATAACTTATAAAATTCAATAATAATAATAATAATAATAATTATTATTATTATTAT